TATTGTGTCATCTCTCATTCCATGATGAAAAATCAAGTAGTAAAGACAAAACTACTACACATTCTGACAGCTTGGTTCAGCATTGTTCTTCTGGGTATGGGTGGTTAATTCTTACCTTTTTTTCTTCTTTTAAATACTTTTAGAAACCCTAATGGCTCTCCTAACCGACTGCTTAAAGCTGGAGTCATTTCTACCCAAAATATCTACAGCTTTGGCTTTGGGAAGGTAAGAGGTTGCCCCTGACAGCCAGCATTTGCCGGACTAATTGAAGTATCACCTGCCCACGGCTCTGGCCCCATCTCCCATGACTTTGTCCAATTCTTCCTTCCCTATCTTCTCCAAAGTATTAATTTTTTTTCTTTACTACTTTACTCCTTTTTTTTTAGTGTTCCTCTCCTTATTAAAATGGTGAAAATCCTGGAGAGTTCCCCTGTACAACCTTGGGCTATATTTGGGGAGTTTAGAGAATGATCGTTTAATTCCCATCAAGGGCCCCAGACATGTTCCCTCTGAAGAGAAGTGGACAGCTGCGCTGACCACGTGGGTCCTACTTGTGGCTGACCTTGCCCTCCACAAGTTGATGAGCATTGTTGGAATGCCATGAAGGAATTGAGATTTTTAAACTGAGAAATGTTCTGAGAGAAAATAGCCCCTTTGGGGTTCTTGATTCCATCCATTACAGAAAACTGTTGGGAAACCTTGCTGAGTGGCTGCGTGATGTTTGCCAGCAGCTCAGCCCCCACCCCTGTGTCTCTTGGTTGTGCAGAGGCAGGCCGGTGGGGGCCGGGGCAAAGGGAATATGGGTTTTGGCTGCACAGAAGCAACCCAGCCCAGTGCTTCAGGCAAGCATCTGACCTCCTTCTGTGAGCCCTGGTTTCCTGACTAGTAAAAGGGTAAGAATATTACAACCTTGCAGGTTTCTAGGAAGGTTAAAGATAATATAACGAATAATGTCCACTGTATAGCGGTATCCAGCAGGTTAGTAAACAGCAGCTGTCATTATTTGTAGCTGGCCGATAAGATTGAGGAGATATTTTACTTTGCCTCTTTTCTGCCCACAATTTGAAGCTCTGCTTTGCTTTCAGTTTTATCTCACAGGGGGTACACAGCTGGCTTATCTAGGATGTCTTCCAGTAATTGGAGAGAAGGAAGTGATTCAAGCTGATGATGAACCTACCTTCTCTTTCTTCAGTGGCCCTTACACGGTCATGACCAAGTAAGCAGAGGCTGGCCAGTGGGAGGTCTGATTTAGTGCCATGGAACGAATGGGCTTCACGTGACTTCCTTACGTGTGGAGGGTTTCTACCTAAACACAAGGAAACACTGAAGAATGTATGTCTAAATGAAGGTTTCTCCACCTGGACAACTTTGACATTTTTGGCTGGATATCCTAGTGGGAGTTGGGGGGAGCCGTCGTGTACCCTGTAGGATGTTTAGGAGCGTCCCTGGTCTCTCCTCATTAGATGCCAGTGGCAGCCCCCCAGTGCCCCCACTCCCACCCACCACAACTGTGATTGTGACAACCAGAATGTTTCCACATATGCCAATGGTCCTTCTCTGAGGACGACTTCTTGACAAGATGACTCCTGACAGTGGATAGAGGCAGCTTAGTGGTGATTGCCTGTGATCCCTGTAGAGCAAAGGGTACTGAGGGCCCTGTAGGAGTGGAGCAGGCATCCGGGCAGTTCTCAGCAGCCAGCCACAGCAGAGGCAGCAGTGACTGCATATGGCTATGACAGATGTCCCTACAGTGTTCTCAGTCCCCAGAGACCTGGCCCCTGTGGGGTCACAGCAGTTGTCCTGGCCAAGGTCGCTTGGCCTCCTTGAACCTGGATGCTTCTTCCCTGCTTAGAAGAAACATCTTTCCAAAAAGGCCTCTGCCAGACACTCAGGGTCCCTCCATTTGCAAAAGACAGGTTCCTTGCTTTCCTGCCTGTGCCACAGATCCGTTGTCAGGTCCCCTCTCCCTGTCCCACTGCAAGTCACCAGCCCAAGTCACTGGCCTCTTAACTGGCCCTCCATTCTCCAGACCACCCCTTCCTGCTGTTCCCCACACTGCTGATACAGTTGTCCCTCTAAAATACAAACACAACAGAGCCACTCCCTCCCTGAAATGCTTCAGTGAAATCCTTCAGTGACTTCCTTCCACCTATGCTAAGTTGCCCAGGATGCATTAGGACCTGGGGTGAGGGGGAGGGAGGACTCAAAGTGTCCCATGTGGCTGTGTAACACTCGATGCTGTGTAAACACCACTTCTGTGCCTCTGGCTGGGAGAGGTCCGTATCTCAGAAGTAGCTGCTCACCCCCATCTGCTTGAACTCTCCTGCCCTTATAGCCTGGTGTGGAATGGGAACAGGGTCACAGTGAAGGGGCTGAACCTCCCCACCCACTCGCACTGCAGCAGGCTGCGGCTCGCCGACTTACTAATTGCTGAGCAGGAGCACAGCAGGTGAGAAGGAAGCTCAAGGACCTGGGCATGTTGCAGTCCTGGTTCAGGCTGTGCTGTCTTCTGGGGTGTGGAGATCAGGTTCTCTCAGCCTCAGGATTTCCTGACTGTTGAAATCCATGGATTTCCAAGGGCTACTGCAAGAGAGAAAAAGGAGTTAATTAATAGATTGAGGGGTGGGGATGATGGTGGCAAGGAGCTCAGTGCAGTCAGCTGATTGACTTCCCATAACCCATTCACATAGCATGGCCGTGCATGAGACTCACAGGTCTGTGGAGCCGTGTCTCTGCCACTGAGGGCATGCCCATGTCTCAGTACCTTAGGTTTCCTGTGGCTCCAGGGATAGT